TTTTCAATACAGTACAAAATATTCAGATACATTTTACCATTTCTGTATTCCTCAGTACACCAATTCTAGCTATGTATTAAATCTCACTGATGTGAAACAGTTAAGCAGCAAAAGTAGTTCAAGGAATCTTCATTTCATGTGACTGCTTCCATAAAACTTAATTTTCCTAGGTCATCCTCACAGCATAAAACCATTTCACTCAAATAAAACAAAAATCACATTGCTCTGTTATTTGCCAGCATGTGACAAATACTGAGCAAGTACAGGAAAAATAAGGTACATCACCAGCACACTCAGGAAAATTTGCCACAAGAAAAGCTAGACAAAACTAAAAAAGCATGAACCTTGGCTGAATCTTCAGTAAGAAGCACAGTCCCAAGGTGAGTTGTCTGTTGCCTGTCAACACTATCCATCAAGAGAAATGGACTGGTTTTGTACCTCAAACCTACTGCAGGACAACACAAATGCACTAGCAAAGAGTCACATTCTCTATTGCTTTAAACCCAAAGGAGCAGTGAAGCAGTTAAGATTTAAGGAAGCTGAAGCTTTAAGAAAAGAGAAGTACATATGTCTAAAATAATCCTAGCACTTACAAACTACAAAGACTGACTAGAATCAGAACAACTGCTGCATTTTATGAATTTCGAGGATAAATGTTTTATGGCTATGGACCGTTCATAACAAACGTTACTGCAATACCTGGAGGTAGCGTCTCCACACTTTGTGCTTTGTCCTCCACACCATTGCCACGCACGTCTTTCCTTTTGGGGTCGATATCATTTGGGTCCTCCTGAAAAAAGTACATAATCTTTAAAATTATCTCCTTAATTGATTTAATTTTGTATGTTCAAAGCAAACAGAAATAACTGTTTTGGAGATTTGGAACTTGTGAAGTGGTCCAAGATAGTTAACTTTGGGTTTTAAGAGAAAGGATGATAACTTCCTCCATTACTTGAAAAACAGAAAAACAGAACATTTAATTTATGCAGTAATTCTTATTTGGAAAAAAATTTGTTTAAGATGGAAATTTATTAGTAGAGATGTACTAATTTTTTTCCATTTTTGAATTTTTTTATTTGAAAATCAGTAATAAGCAAATGAGCAACAAAGGCCAAAAGGTTAAATAAAACCCGAAGAAAGTCCTACTTTAGCAAGGCACGGAACAAACAGGAAAGTAATCTGAAAAAGAGAAGTCAGGTTGCCTAGCAGTTATATCCAGAATGGCAGCCTTTCCCTCTTGTAAAAAATTTTCCAAAATAATTTCAAGCTGCTATTTTCATGTGTTCATTTCACTGGAGCTTATTCTGGGCTTCACAGGCAACTCTGCTGGATTTTCAATTCCCGTAATATTGATAACACCTATTTAGAGGAAAAAAATAGTTTCACTTCTCCACTCCTCCAATTTCCAATGTTTATCCTGAATCTATAAATCTCATCTTCCTTTCGACAGAAAAAGACACCCCACCGAACTCTGTATGCTCACTACCACAAAAATGCAAGATGTCAAGCTGAAGTTATCTCATTATGCATTTGGAAGAAGCCAAGCCAAGAAGAGAGTAACTTTTTTTTTTTTTAAGAAAAAAAGATAATTAGGAACTATATACTGATTTGTACATTAAGCCACTGGATTTAAGCATCATCAGCTTTTGTTGTTCTTGCACACTTGCCAAAGGAAAATGTTTCCTTTTCTACATCTGCACTGAAGAAGTCCCAATTATAATACTGCTTTTATGTGCACAACCCTGCTAAAGACAACGCCTTCACTTCATCATGTAAGAAGATACAACACTATGCCCACACTAATTGATAAGTGCACCTAAAAAGATTACCAGGCACCAAAGCCAAGCAGTGCAGAACAGCCTGTATCTCTTTAAAGGAATCTGTCAGAGTCTCCAGAAGAGGGTGAAGGTGTAAAAACCGCATACGGGAAACTATGTCTGCCATCCCTGCTCCTAAACCACCAAGTGGAATTCTTTGGGTAGAACAGTAAGAAAATGGAAGAGGCCAAACTTACATTGGGGAATGGCTCAACCACAAATGATACCATTTCAGCATGCCCTCAGGCACGTCTGAATTTTCCAATGTAAATTCAGCTTTAGTGTCTACATTAAGCAGACAGTAACATTAGGAAATATATTGAAAAAAAGGCATCTGACTTCCAGACCGCTGCAACGCAAAACTGAACACTGATGCTTTTTGTTATCATTTGTAGAGGAAAAACAGTCATATAAACACTAAACTGTGTAGAAATGAAATGCCGCTCTTCATAGGGCATGTTTTCCAGACC